TGTGGACAGACTCGCTATGGCTTCTCTTGGAGATGATGTTAAAATAACTTTGTTTTTAAGCACGAGCTCCCTGCTCTTGTGGCTCAGATGCAAATAACATGTAAAAAAGCTACTTATCAACACGTCTCTAACACATTTACAGCTTAGATTTAAATCACAAGGTTCTGGCATGGCCGGGCTAGAGTCAGTATCAGCAGGAAAAGCCACGTCCATTATGTCGTCCTTCACATTTCAAAAGCTGTCCAGAGGGTCAGATCTGAGTCTTTGCCAGGACAATTCTGGCCCCCAAGACATTTGAATTCACCATAGTCTAGTGCATGTAACAGACATTTGATACTGCTACTTACAGCCAGACTGGAAGAAAACCTTAGTCCTGTGTTTAAAGTAATAAATAATTGTTAGTCTTTTCTCATGTAAAATACAGAGGCCTATCAGTTCTTCGTTCTTCATAACAACCTGCAGCCTCACAGTGCCAGTGGTTCATACCTTTGCCTTTCCTCTCTTTGTCTTGAGTTACTGTTGCCGAGTGGTTGCTGCTGACCGGTGTTTCAGTGCCTTTGTGTGCCACTCTGCTCAGGCAGGGTTTTGTTAAGACCATGAATGGCCCTTTTGTCTGTCCAAACTATTTCCTAGACTCCCTGATCCTTTGCCATCCGTCCACTGAGACCTTTTTCTCTTTGCCCTTGTGTAATCACATCGTTAGCGGTCTGTCTACAGAAAGTTCCCAATGGTAGAAATCTAAGAAGATGTCCAGTCATACTGCAGCTCTCGGTTTAGTGCCCAGACAGGAACCATGTGAGATGCATTCCCTTTGTTTACATGGTTTAACAATCAAGCAGTCAGCCTCACTTATCATTCCTGCTGTCCAGCATGACACCGCGTGACGTTTTATTTATAGCTGTCGGTGTCCAGGAAAGAGAGCAAACCAAGCTCTGTGAAATAGCTTTCTAATTTTGTGCAGAGCTACTATGTGTCTAACTAACTATGTGACCAACAGATGGAGGTCCAGGCTCCACCTGGGACCACCATAGGGTACGTCAAACAGGACTGGCACCCTTTCCTGCCAAAGTTTTCCATCCAGGGAGCAAACAAGGAGACACTCATGAGACTGGAGGGGCCCTGCTTTGCCTGCAACTGCTGTGGAGATGTCAACTTTGAGGTGAGCTCAGAGGGTCGTTGTTTGTGGGGGAAACTGAACTCTGAGTAAATTTCATCCATCAGCCAACAGTGATTTGTTACAGATCCACTCAGATAATCTAAACAGGACTGGTAACAGTCACAGAAATGTTGATGATGATTTTTAATTAAGTCAAAGGAATAGTTGATAGTTTTGGAAAACGCTTTCTATTCACTTTATTGTAGAGTTTAGTGAAAAGGTTGATACGACTCTTATCTGTCCATAAAATATGAGGGTACACCTCGAAGTCAGGCTACTATCCAGCCTGTGCAATGAAAAAATTAAATCTTCCTATTAGTCTCACTTCCTGGTTTCCCACATGACATCCTGCACACATTACTTGAGAATTGACATGATACAACTACTGGCTGCAAGTAGTTGTGATTAGACGCAGGGGAAATGCAATTGTAGGGAGGCTAAAGCAGCTTAAATGGCACATCAGGTCAGCTGATCTGCCAGGATTGCAGCAGAGCCTGCTTTTTGTCATCTGTTTGCACAAAGGTTGTGCTTGAGATTTTCTTTATTACGTAATCTTCTTGTGTCTTGGTGAGCTTGCTTGTCAGTATTTTCTCCCACTCGTCCAGTTACTTTTCCAACACTAAAGAGCATTTATGGACACACATTTTTCCCATTAGTTTGACACCAAGTGAATGATCCTTAGTGCTGCTGGTGGTCAGATTGTGTTACCTTTCATAAGGACCAAAAAAGCTGTTTTATCTCCTGATAAGTGCACGTTAAGCTTTTATTTCTCAGCAAGAAGGCAAGAAAATTTTAAACGGCAGCAAGGCTGATGTTGTTTCCATTGTTTAAAGAAAGCGTGTGCGACAGGATTAACAATTTGTGATGAACGCTGGTATTATTTTTTTTTGCAGCTGAAGGGGAAAGATGGTGGCACACCCATTGGTCGCATCAGCAAGCAGTGGAGCGGCCTTTTGAAGGAAGTCTTCACTGACACAGATAATTTTGGCATCCAGTTCCCGCTGGACTTGGACGTGAAGATGAAAGCTGTGCTGATGGGCGCCTGCTTCCTCATCGTAAGTCCCCAATCTAGAAGAACATAGTTGATTTTGAAATATGTGGTGTGTTGTTGAATAAAATAATTCATTACTTTTAACGTTGCTTTGCAGGATTTCATGTTCTTTGAGAAAGTCGGAGAGGCCAACCAGCGCAGCAGTGTGTTTTCATAACAGAGGAAAGGGGAACCGTGGGGGGGCGGCCTATGATGGTGTTTTCCTGTTATGTAACATTTGTAATTGTTTTGTTCATTTGTTACCAGTCCCATAATCCATTTATATACACATACAACTCATTGTGAGTGAATAAACTCTTGATTAGATTTAAAACTTTGAATCTCTCCAAAGTCAAAGACTGAAATTTTCAGTGTTTCTGTACAGTCTGTAGATGTTTCACCTCTTTTTAAGCACATCACTGTATTCATAGCAAGCAATTTACGCTACCAAATTTAAACTTGGAAACAGGTGTGGACACGCATCCTTTTGAATGTGTTTTGCTGCACTTGTGTTCACATTTCATTTCTTTCTTCTTTTCTGTCACCATCAGTTTGTCTTTTATTGTTAGTAATTTTATGTGCTTGCTCGAGCTTTATAAAGATATAACAGTATATCTAGTAGAAGTACAATACTGTTTTGTAGAAGATGTATTCATTGCTTTGCCTTCATTTATCCAGTTAAATGGTGGCAGAGTCGATCTGTCAGTCCATTGCTTTGGTATGATGATCATCATAATCTGTGTACAGATATTTTTTTTAATTTAAAAGTTGGCTTTTGTTTATTACTTTGGTGTATGCTCTACCAAACCTATTACATTCCTTTGAGCCTCCACTGTAGGCTGTATTTAGTGTTAATCAGCAAGTGTTGGCATGCAAAACACACTAAGATATGATGCTTGACATGGTAAGCCTCAAACCTGCCTTGGCTTCATTATATCAATGTCACTGTGAATATCTTAGCACAGGGGTGTCAAACTCAAATACACAGTGGGCCAAAATTCAAAACTGGAACAAAGTCGCAGGCTAACATTAATATTTATTGAAAAAAAAAAAAAAAACTTCCTCCAGATATAAGAATGAATCTTTTCTTATGGACTCAAATAAGTTCTGCTGGAAAACTGAATATGGAACAAGCAAAGCTCAATACTAAACAATATATATATATTAGCTGTATAATACCAGTAGGCCAGCTCTGATAGTAATTTGGTATGGCTTCGCGGGCCAAATGTAATTAGGCTGCGGGCCAAATTTGGCCCGCGGGCCAGAGTTTGACACCTATGTCTTAGCATAAGCATTTGGCGCTAACCACTTGTGGACCAGAGTTCCACTACACAGAGCCACTAGCACAGCTTTTAATCTTTTTGTCACTTATCAGAAGCCATATAGAAAACCTCGACGTTAGCCACGGGAATCCCGCTCTGGTTGTTTAGCTCAGGGTGGCATCATGTGCAAATGTTAGCGTGTAAATACACTGAAGTATAATTGCAGATATGCTAATCATTAAACCTGCCTGACATTATTTTATCATCCATGTAAATAGTTTATCTTTAAGCTCAGTTTGGGCTAAATGCTAACTACAGCCAGGAGGTGCATCACCCTAAGTCTTTTTGTCATTAACTAAAGCTTATGGGAAACATTTAGCCACAGTAAACTGGCTGTTTAGCATTTAGCCCACATAAGGAAGTGACATCGTACTAGCATGTAGACATGCTAACTTAGATGGTTGAAATGGCAAGCATCTTAACTACTAAACAACCTGTTGTTAACATGTGCCACTGTTGAGGTTTTAGCATTTAGCCCAAAGCTCTACTGTGCCTATGTACAGACAGTACCTGCCTTGTCCTAATTGTGCAGTTAGTTGACTGCCTTACAAAAAAGTCTGAACTAGTTAGCCGCTGTCACTTGTTTAGGGATGTGTTGCCTTTATTGGTGTGAAGTTGTGAATCACACATTTTTACCAAAGTGCACTCTTTCTATTCAGCAACATGTCTTCAGCCATGGTGCATGATGCAAAGCTGTTGCACAGGCTTTACTCTAAATGATCCTGTGCTCCCTTTATGGAGTTTGGTGGTTGCCGGTGACACCTCACCATCCAGTTTCCTTCACATACCACTGTGTTTGAACATGTGCCTGCGTAATGATAGGGGAGAGAGAAAATGCAGGCTGAGGGAAAAATTTAAAAGCAGATGTTGAGGTTAGTGAGCATTGATCTGGCCTCAGAATGGTTGGAAAACCCCACAGGCAAAGTTTGCATGAAACACTGTAGTTCCTAAGTCCCTGGAAAGAGTTGGTGCAGTTATGACTGCTGGTACAGAGAACTAGAGAGGAGACCAGAATCTTAACTGAATCAATTGACTTGTTTTTTCGTTTTGTTTTTTTTAATTTGGTTGCTTTGCTCTACAGTGTTTGATAGATGAGAGGTTAATGTTGCACTTCTGTGTTTAATAATCACTCTTGTTCTGGGCACGCCTCCAGCGTGAGACCTGGTTGCCACAAGTGCTTTCAAATCCAGCTAGCTGTTTGCCATCACCAACCAAATGCATTGTATGTGCATAGATATATGTATATGCTGAGTGGCCAGTACTAACCAAAGCATGTACAGTTGATTTAAGTTGCGCACTCACAGTTTACTGTTCCTCTGGAGGCTTTTTTTTTTTCTATCATATATGTACGGCTGGGAGGGGCTGCAACATGTTTCCTGTGTTTTTTATCAAAAATGTTTTGTAACACTTTTCTTGTGATTGGACATTTTTACATATACAAGCAACGATGTATTTCTCAAATAAACAAATGCAACGATAAGCCTTTATTAAAAGCACAATCGTCTCTTGTTTTTCTGCCCATGTGATGCTGCAGGAAAATCTGGGGAAGGTGCTCTGTCGGCCTAAATGTGGACCATCTGGTTGCACTTGGAGAAAATGAGCTTTGGTTTAGTAGGGGAAATCTAGTCCCTCCTGC